TGTTATTTATTACAACTGTTGTTATTTATTATAGCTGTTGTTATTTATTATAGCTGTTGTTGTTTATTATAAGTGTTGTTATTTATTACAAATGTTGTTATTTATTATAGCTGTTGTTATTTATTATAGCTGTTGTTATTTATTATAACTGTTGTTATTTATTATAGCTGTTCTTAGTTATTATAACTGTTGTTATTTATTACAGCTGTTATTTATTATAGCTGTTGTTATTTAATATAACTGCTGTTATTTATTATAACTGTTGTTGGTTATTGTAACAGTTGTTGGTTATTGTAACTGTTGTTATTTATTATAACTGTTGTTTGTTATTGTAACTTTTGTTGGTTATTGTAACTGTTGTTGGTTATTGTAACTGTTGTTATTTATTATAACTCCAGATATACAGTTATAATAACTAACAACAGTTATAATAACTAACTGTTGTTAGTTATTATAACTGTTGTTAGAGCAGAAAAACTTTGGACTGCAGCTTCCTGTATTGTATTTGGGGAGTGGTGGCGCAGAGGTTAGAGAGGTGGGCTTGTAATCCGAAGATCGCCGGTTCACGCCCCGGCCCCGACAACATCAAAAATTGTGGGTGGGGTAGGTGAAACACCCACACTTGCCCCCACCCTCATTCGCCCCACTCTGGGCCCATGAGCAAGGTCCTTAACCCCACCATGTGCTCCCTAAACAGGTCTCTCTTGAAAATGAGTTCTCGTGGCTCAATGAGACTAACCTGGATAAATAAAGGCTAAATGAAAAAAAAAAAAAATAAAATAAATTGTGCATGTGCGACTTTACACTTGGAGCATTTCACATCTCTGTTGGGGTTTTGCTTGAAAATCTCCTCAGAGACCTGGATTCAGAAACCTTCAGTTTCAGAGAAAATGAGGACGTTGTCTGTAAATGAATGTTTGAATGTTTCACGTTGTGTAAACGGTGCCTCAGACTGGTTGCCCTGTCTGTCAATCAAATGACAAATTTCATAGATGATGATAGGCTGATGTCGGTTTTTAATGCCATCTACCCAGAATACCTTTGAGATCCACCGATAGATCATGATCGAGGTATTGAGCACCCCGTCTCAAAGAGTTTAATCACACAGCAGTAAAATCTGCCTGCAGGCAAGAACCAGAGCAGCATTTACAACTAAAAGTTTCTAAAACTGATTATTTGCAAAGAAAACAAAACCAAAACATGAATATTTACGTCCATGAAACATTTTGTGCATTTATGTCTTTCTTTTAGATCAGTAACCTTGGACGACTACCCAATTACTCACCGAAACATAGACAGCGGCGAAGGACGCAAGCGTTGCATGCTGGGATGGGAAGGATTTTCTGAAACAGAGAACAAAAATAGATTCTTCCAATGGTCTCATCTGCATGAATGAGTCAACAGCAGGAGGAAAGAAACGCAGCATGGCGAGGATCTATCAGGCGTGATCGTAATGGATCGAACCACTGAACCACCGAACCACATTCTCCACTTCCTCTCATCTCATTTAAGTAAAACCTTCTATAAATGAAACTGACGTTACCCAATGAGTTACCAATAAAACAGCCAACCAATCAGTGTCTCTCCTCCGGCTCCATGTCTGTGTGTAATGAAGTCCACCAGGACTTGGACTGTGAGCTGCAGAACCAACCTGAACCTGCGGCCCAGTTACACACTCAGCTCTATTCCAGTGACCTACTTCTGACAACTGCTTCTAATCACTCTAAATCCACACACACAGTGCTCCTGAGTGGGTCTTTGTGCACTGCAGCAGCTGTGTGGATCCTTCGGTTGTTTTTTTTAACATCTGTAGAGTCATAAAAGATTCATACACACATGAAAACAGATTGCGTTGCTTCTCAGTGAGCTGACCCAGTTCTACAGCTGAATTTACCACTCTAAGCATATTTTATGCTCTAAGATTCTGCTGCCATGCACAGATTATGTGTTGCACTCACAGTACGTGACGGGGATGACTCTCAGCTACTACCACATCGAACTTGAGTTCAACAGTTTTAAGATTTAAGCCAAAGCTTTAAGCAAGGTCAGATTCTTTCTATATTCAAAAAAGTTCAAGACAAAAACAACTGGACTTTATTTGTAACAGAAGACGTTTCGCTTCTCATCTGAGGAGCTAAACATCTGTTACAAATAAAGTCCAGTTGTTTTTGTCTTGAACTTCTTTAAATTTACCATGTCCTGGATGACTGAGAATCTTCACCAGTGGAATTTTTCTACAGGATTTCCAGTTTTTCTCCTGCAGCTTTTCGACACCAGATGGCGCCAACAAGCACACACCTGTGGACCATTCTGCTAATGAGCTGCAGGAGTATGAATAGCTGTAGATGACATCTTTCCGAGGCTGGTGCATTATCTGCCTACCAGTAGCTTACGTCAGTGTTTTTCAACCACTGTGCCGTAGCACACTAGTGTGCCGTGAGAGATCATCAGGTGTGCCGCAGGAAATTATTCAATTTCAACTAATTGGTCTAAAAAACACTTTGGAAAACTAATTAATTATTATCTGCAAATAGTATGCTATTGTCGAGTGTCTGTGCTGTTTAGTGACTGGCAGAGTTATCATGTAATACTCTTCCATATCATTTTCATATTTGTGTGAGGAAATGGGGGCGGAGCATAAAGCCTTGCTGTTTCATACAGAGGTTCGATGGTTGTTGCGCTGCAAGGTGCTGTATGAGCTGCGCGAGGAACTTAAAGTGTTTCTGACAAATGAGGGGTCTGCTTACACAAAGCTGCTTGTAGTTGATGAATGGTGTGCTAGACTGGTGGCAATTTTAGACTTTTTTTTTTGGGGGGGGGGGGGGGGGG